AGTTTCTTTTTATAAGTGTAGAGTTAGATACGGTTAAAGAATCTAGTATACGGATGTTTTTATATTTATTACCATTAAACGAGACAATTTTAAGTAAATTCAGTTTTTAGTTTTTCCAGATTTTTAATTTATTTTAAATTATTTTGATTCCTCAACATTGTGTGTGCGAATAGATGTGAGAACAAAGAGATTTTGGAAAGGAGATGGAAGGCGCGAGCGCCTAACGCACTATTCCTGTGAAATTGTTGAAGGACGTAGGCACTTGCGCAGAGATAGCGCGCGCACGCGCATAGCGTGTGACGTGTCTTTATTTCGTTAGTTCCCAAAGAGGGAGATGTTATGTATTGTATATTTGATATATATTGTTGATATATATTGTATTTGAATAAATGGTTAATTATATATTGTTCAGGTTTTGATGGGAAACTAGTGTATGACTTGTCCAACAATAACGCAAGCACATAACATAACACATTGACTGAATGTTATTTTATATTCTAATTTATATTCTAGATATTTTATTTATTTTTCAACAGACGACAACTTCCTGTTTTTTTCTTCTATATTAGTTACTCATATCTCTTGTACAGACTGTTTTACAAGGACATTGACAGATGGTACTCACATTAGGCATTCATTATTGCATCTAAATTATTTCACTTGCATTAGGTTTAGAAATTTATTCTCTGGTTAACAGATTTCAAATGTTTAATTAATTTTTAGTATGACAGTAAGGTATATAAGAAGTTATTTAATTTTGCTTGGGCTATTATATTGACTATTGAGGTTTAATGATGATATGGAATTTGAATTCTATATAAATTTACACTATGTGGTTGGGGCATTTTGCATAGTAAATATGGTTACTACTCATATATATCATATTATTTGATTGGTATTCGATTTCTGATTATTTCTTAGGAATATGATTATTATATCTCAATTTGGCTTTAGGTAGGGTGCCCCGCTAAAAGAACTGGATTCTTCCAGGAAGCATCCCGTGCACAGACCTTGGTCTACATATATATTAAATTATTAACCATTCATTCTGTATGTGCACGAAAATTTATTTCAATTAAGGTGTCCTATCACACAATCACCCAATCAATTTTGTTAACGAGATACATAAAATGCTTGATAACTTCGTCATTTCAAATCCGTTTGGCCTCTTTTTTTTAGATCAGATGCAGCAACTAATTATCTACAGTAATCTGAAATAAATGGGCGTTTAGCATGTCCGGAAAGAATAATATAGGTGATTTAATATTGTGTGGGCGTAAAATATTCAAATTTTCGAACATTGGCGACGGAATCCTCAAATGAGTAGCTGTTACAGCATGCCATCTGCAAAGTTACAGGTCCAAAATATGAAACACGGTGGTGGTATAATACCCAACGTAACTTGTGCCACCTACCCAGGAACATAAATCTCATACAGGGATAAAGATTCCCAGTCTTGATTTGACCTGGATTTCAGTACCTTTGGGTGGGCGTGGCTCCTGGGAGTGGCCTGAGTGGATCAAGCGGTAGGAATTTGGTTTTTCTGATGGTTTGAGGCAGGTACTTCCTATTTAACCACTAAAACATGTTCCAAATACCAGGGAACAGAAATCTCTATAAGTGTGAAATCCCCTACAAATCCCCTACAAAAATCGAGGAAACGTGCTCTCATTTAGTGACATCTGCATTACAATGTGCAACGAAACAATTACTATCAAACTAAATATACGGTGTGAGCATTGAAGCTTTATGCTATGAGCGGCAACAAAAAGAGATGCGACCGAAACGTATCAGAGCATATTTGATATGAGACTAAAATTGGCGCAACTAAAAATTTGGTTAAATCTCCATATTGCGATTTCGAAGTGCGCGGCGTAGCGCGTACTTTGAAATCCAAATAAAAATTATTTTGGATTGAAATATTGGACAACAAAATTACAGCATAAGACAAATCTTAAGTAAAAAAATGTGATAAACAATATTGCTCTATCCAGAGCCCTTGCGCTTGCAGTAGCGCGCGCCCGCCTCACGGCGGTAAAAAGGGCTCTAGCCATGAACACACCCAACGATTTTGGCACCACTGTACAGTGGTGCCAAAAATTACCCTTTTCTTGACTTGTGAAACAAGCGCGCCCGCAGCGGCGCGAAAGCACATGGTTAGGTGAATAAACAATATGCTGTAAAAAAATTTCGTCAAAAATTTTAAGAACACGATGCCCCGCCCAATTTTCTGAGGTGATAATTTTGGGACTTTGACGGGCTATAACTTTCGCTAGGAACAGCCATTTGCCCAAAACTTGGTACCAAACGACTTTCCTCAATGAGACCTTTCCAATGATGTATAATATGTTGGGTTTTGAGACATAAAATGTTCATCCGCAAGTTGACGCTTTTAGTACTTTGTACTTGTAGCGCGATGCGTTACTGTGCCGCGCCGCGCACTCAATGAGGCTTCTCACAGCGACTGGAGCTAGATCGGCGAAATGCGCTACTGTGCCGCGCCGAGCTGCCATGAATTGACATCGTCAATTAAACTTTGACAAACCATAATTCGCCACCAATCAAGTCAAATTTTAATTTTAAAATATCAAAAGAAAGTAAAAGATTTTGCCAACACGAAAGGGGACTCCTGCCAATTATGTTTAATTATGAATAGGGGTCGGGGTGCACCATAAAAATAAACTTGCTCGGATTTAAAAAATTTTTGTACCATTGTTTTCTATACTAGAGACTGTGAGAATTTTCACAATACCAAATTTGTCAAAACTTTTTAAAAAAATCAGTGAGTTTCGCCTAGGTGCCATATTTGATGGTGCGCGGCTTTTGGAGCAAAATTAGCTGTAAAAGTCGCGTAATTTGACCAAATTTGACCAAATTCGTTGATTTTTGTCGTATTATTTGGATATATCTTCAGTTCCTTGAATGAGATCATTCTGAAAATTGGCGACGACCTTTTAATAGGGCTTTCACAACTGTCCGAAAAATTAAGTAGATATCGGAGTTGATATAATGATCAAAATGGGGCAAAATACGCTGCTTTTAGCTGTAACATAATGTTTGATGGTTGGATATGCTGGCCGAAATTAGCACTAAAAAACCATCCTACAGTCGGCACGCGCGGCTCACTGTCGATGGCGCACTACCTATAATATGAATTTGGTAAATCACCTTAATATGTTTTTTAAAACAATGCTTTAGGTGCATTACTTGTAGCTATTAATCTCTTGAACACAAATATAAAGTTTTATCAAGATTGGATGAAAATTGGCTGAGTTATGATCAAAACCTATAAGACCATATTTGGGCATGTGCACCAATTTTGATAGTAGAGCGTGCTCAATAACTTTTATTTATACTCCTACCTCAAATTTTTCTTTAAGTTAAAACTAACCTCAATCGTTATATTTTAAACGCTGATTTCGGAGCACCCCGCAATAGTAATACCAAATACATATAATGTAAAAGTGCTACCCTGTCGATGATGAGCATTGACCACATATATAAGTAATATGGTCTAATTTCTCGTTAGGGTTAGCGAATGTTCCAGTTAGGAATTGGGTTCCGGTTACTGTTAGGCCTAGGGTTACATTTGGAGTCAGATTAGAGGGATAAGCTGATAATCTTTTGAATAGTCACTCAGAAACACCTAAAGAGCGTGTTATAGTAAGTCACGTGATTGTCAAGTAAAGAGCTAAAATATTTTGATGACTGTTGGTGACAAAGTGAGAGTCTCCAATTAGTGAAACACTTAGTGAAACACTGAGTGGAAACTTTCATTTCGTCACAAACTATCATCAAAATATATGATCGACCCACTCATAATAGCGAATAAAGAGTACCAATATGAAGTTATAATGTATAAACCAACGTCCCATTTGAGTAATAATACGTAATGTTTAGAAATGAGCATCCAAATTCCAAATATAAATAAGAAAAATGTGTTACATTTTGAACCGTTGAACATTATCGGCACAATAATTTGGACGAGTACTGATTAATGATTAGTTTAGTTAGTCAGTTAGTGCCGAGATCAATCCATTAATCATCATAATATTATGTTTCTAACCTTGTACGATGGATTAAACAGGATTAAACAGGATTAAACATGAAATTACCAGAGAGAACACTAACGGACTCGTCTTGGCTATACAAGAATGAATAAATGAATAAATGAATAAATAAAATTATCAAAACTGAATCATAAAAATAGTAAAATTTAACCGTTTACAATTTCACGAAAATAAAAGAAGATCGTCTATAATAATTTAAGGTAATACAGTAAATAAAGTTCGAGTACTACATCTGTTTGCGAGGGTTAAGGGACGTTTTAGGAGGATTACGTAGATTTGAGGAGTCTGTAAGGTACTTCCCGAACTCTTTTATATGGGGTGAGTTCATTATTGCTCCATATTCTTTTAGCATCAACAGGCTTTTGAGGTTGTCAGAGAGGTTGGACCTGAGTTGATGGTAGTTGGGGCACTCAGTTAGGACGTGGTCTTCGGTTTCTAGAATAGGAGTTTCAAAGAAGGGGAGCTCCTCTAAAAAACGTATGACATCCGTTTCTGAGGAGCAGCAGAAGCGACACGTTTTAAGAGCTGTGTTGAGTTGATCTTTGGTGTAGCGACCTTTTTCTATCCTAAGATCGTGACTGCTAGATCGGAGTTTAGCAATATTGACGATGTATCAAGTGTTGAAAATCAGTGCCTCAAGTGCCTCAGGGCCTCAAAGTGCTGCCTCAAGGGCCTCAAAGTGGTGCCTCAAGTGCCTCAGGTCCTCAAAGTGCTGCCTCAAGTGCCTCAAAGTACTGCCTCAACTGCCTCAAAGTACTGCCTCAAGTGCCTCAGTGCCTCAATGCGTCACAAGGTTATCTGTGTTAAAGTTGATGCCGTGGTGTCAGTAAAATGGTACGGATATATTATTATCATATCGTCTCGCTTTACATATAGTAAGATGGTCAGAATTAAGATAGGACCCATTGAATTCCAAATGAGACAAAGTAATCATTGCATTAGTACAAAAAGCAATAAAAACAATTATCAATCAAATATACTAGCAGCAATGAACAAACTAAAGAAACACAATTAATGTAGGACAAAAAAGAAAACATCACTTTTCACTGATAATCCAAGAAAAACGGTTACTAATTTAGAAGCATTTTCTGTGGACGATGCTGGGACCAGATTCGTCATACTCCTGCTTGGAGATCCACATCTGCTGGAAGGTGGAGAGAGAAGCAAGGATAGATCCTCCGATCCAGACAGAGTATTTCCTCTCTGGAGGAGCAATGATCTTGATCTTCATGGTGGGAGGAGCCAGGGCGGTGATCTCCTTCTGCATCCTGTCAGCGATTCCTGAAAATAACCAGAAATAACCTGACTGTTCTTCATGTAAATAAACTCAGCAATCTTTTGATAGATTGGAACTATGTTGACAACATGCTCAGGAACTGTTCTGATTCTATGTTTTAGCTCAAGGGAGCATGTTGCAAGTAAATAGCTGGCTATTTTGAACCGTGTTCAACAGTCAATGCTTTGTACAGCAGGGTGTCAGAATTATTGGCGTGTTTGAAATGTTATGTGTATTTTATGATGAAATCAATATTTTTATTGTACAGCAGGGTGTCAGAATTATTGGCGTGTTTGAAATTTTATGTAATGAAATCAATGTTTTTCGACGGGTCATAACTTTACTTCTGAATATCGAAATTACAAGATTCAAAAACTGGTCTGTAGACAATCGTCTGAACTTTTTCTTAATTTCAGAATTTTGTGTTGATGTACCTCAAAACCCATAATTTAGGCCGTTATTTAAAGGGTCGATTCCATACTTGGTTAGATTTACGAAGGAGTAAGGGATTTATGTGTAATTTTTTCTGAAATTATTCTTTAGACTAAAGTGCACAGCTCTTTAGGCGATAGCGAAACATATAGAAAACTATCGATTTTATAAAAGCTCTCTTTCTCCTCTAACTGACGCAATAAAATATAGTCAGGCGGACTCATCCCGGAACTCAGGGGAAGCAGCCGAAGGCTTCAAGTCCAATAATCCAAATTTTTCTCTTTCGTCGTGATTATCGACGAAATTTAACTTTTTTCGGTCTTCATTTTTAGACTGAACTGTAGTATGAAGGATTATCTCTTGAATGATCAAGACTCCATAGGAAACTGACCCTCAGAAGTCAAGTAATGATCGTTTCTAAAAGCTTGGGTAAGCTAAAATTTTACGCAAAATTGTCTACGCGCCAATAATTATGAAACCCTGCTGTATAAACAAATATTAAGCAAAATTATGTTTCCTTACCAGGGTACATAGTGGTTCCGCCGGAGAGGACAGTGTTGGAGTACAAATCCTTCCTGATGTCAACATCGCACTTCATGATAGAGTTATAGGTGGTCTCGTGGATTCCGGCAGCTTCCATACCGAGGAGGCTAGGCTGGAAAAGAGCTTCTGGGCATCGGAATCGTTCGTTATTTACGCAAATAACCTGACTGCAAAGATGTTGAATTTTAGTTTAAAATAAGCTACATAATTATAAACAATATATTAACGCCTGAGTACTAAAATAAAGAGCATACGGTAAGCAGGGTCCACTTATTATTGTTCTAAAACTTTATCAACATACCCGTCGGGAAGTTCATAGGATTTCTCGAGGGAACTGGAACTGGCAGAAGTTTGCATTTCCTGTTCGAAGTCGAGGGCGACATAGCAGAGCTTCTCTTTGACATCCCTGACAATTTCCCTTTCGGCGGTGGTGGTGAATGAGTAGCCTCTCTCGGTCAGGATCTTCATGAGGTAGTCGGTCAAATCACGTCCGGCAAGATCAAGTCGGAGGATTGCGTGGGGTAAAGCATAACCTGTAATGTAATAAAATTAGATCAACTGAATTAATTCTCATTAAAAACAAATATTACAGCCTCATTAAAGTAAGCATTTCTTGAATAACATAATGGCTATGAATGAACTGAAGCTTGGAAATTTAAGTTTCGTTGCTTAATAACTGACCTTTATCATTTATAAATAAATAACTAACCTTCATAAATTGGGACTGTGTGGGAAACACCATCTCCAGAATCCAGGACGATACCAGTAGTTCGGCCGGAAGCGTACAGAGACAGGACAGCCTGGATAGCGACGTACATAGCAGGGCAGTTGAAGGTCTCGAACATGATTTGGGTCATCTTCTCTCTGTTGGCCTTTGGGTTGAGGGGAGCCTCGGTCAGAAGGACGGGGTGTTCCTCTGGGGCAACTCTCAGCTCGTTGTAAAAGGTGTGATGCCAGATCTTCTCCATATCATCCCAGTTGGTAACGATACCGTGCTCGATAGGGTACTTCAGGGTGAGGATACCTCTCTTGCTCTGGGCTTCGTCTCCGACGTAAGAGTCTTTTTGTCCCATGCCGACCATGACACCTTGATGTCTGGGTCGTCCAACAATGGAAGGAAAGACTGCTCGGGGAGCATCGTCTCCGGCGAAGCCGGCCTTGACCATACCGGACCCATTGTCCACAACCAGGGCACTTACATCATCATCCATAGTAGTAATTAGTTTTTGAAAACAGTAACGAACTCGAAATGATTATCAGTGAAATGAAATAAATAATGCCGCGGGATTGCTATAGCGCGCTTTTGAGAAATTCTTGGGAAAATTTGCACGACTTCCATATTTGGGCATAAATCGGTTCAAAAGTGCGCAAAGTTATTTTTATAAAATGTTCGTTCGCGTTTGAGCGCCTTTGCTGTTGCGCGCGGCATTCACGTTTATTATAATACGACATAAACGGATTAAACGGATTAAACGGATTAAACGTTAATTGGTCTAGAGAAGCCCTAACACTCCTGGCTTGACAATACAAGAAATAAGAATGAAATCATAACCTAGAAATCAGATACGAAAACCGTGAAGAAACAAATATCATAATTTAAGCTAAGTCTCTCGGGAAACGAAGTGCATCTATATTAACTAAGAATTTAGCAATCTCTTTTAAAAGCTTTGGTTGAGTGAATATGAGATCCATTCCCTCGAAGAGGTTGGTTTTAGCTTCAGGGCTAAGGCGGTCCCTGTTGTCTTGGTAGAGGGGGCAGGTTCTAAGCACATGAACCTCATCTTCAATTATGGGATCAAAGAAGGGTAACTCTGCCATGTACTCCAGAGTGTTCTTGTCCTTAGTGGAACATGTAGGACAGATACGATTTAGGATGTTGTTTCTTCTGACTTGTCCATGGCGTCCCGTTTCAATATTTAGGCGGTGAGAGCTAGTCCTTATTTGGGCTAGTCTTTTTGACTGGTTATATGGAAGATAGAGAGAGAGGTATTTTTCACAACCAAAACTTGATTTAATCGAATTGTAAAATCCAAGTTTTCTGTTGAGCTGTCTCTCTTCATCCCATTGCGTTCTAAAGCAAGAACGGAGAACATCTCGTTTCTGAATGGGTGATAGTTGCCTTTCGTTCGTTTCTGCCAGAAATTGATTCATCGACGTAATGCCGGAGTACCATGATAGGCCCATTTTCTTTTGTTCTGTGAAAGCATGTCGAACAAGGGCGTCCGATCCGGAAGTTTCCATGCTTTCTAGTCTTCGATATATATAATATAACGACTCTTTTCACTTTCAGACCAAAAATACAATTTAAACTAGTTGGAAAAAATTGCTGCGAATCATTTGACTAGATTTTTACAAGATTCGCACTACGAGTACGATGTACGAAAATTAAAAGGATTTTGCGAAATAATTGCCAAAGCTCTGCGTCCGTTTCGGTTTAGTTTTACAGTCTAATTCTACTTTAACCGCAAAGTGACAAAACTGTGGGATCTGCTAGATTCTAGAACACAAGTCCAAAGTCACAACCTGCAAAATGCTAATCGAGGACAATACCGGTACGATTTTTCGTGATTTTAAAAGTATAGAGAAGACATTCGATGTTCGACTCTAGGATTGTAGGTTTATAACCTACCTATGACCAAAATGCACGCCGAGTTGGACTTTGGTATTGGAACCGTCGACAGTCTTTGGACTTTGGAACAAATATATTACGAGTATCACCCGTTTACGTTAAACTCCAGGATTCTGCCAATATTAAATCTGCATCACAAAATAAAGAGTTGTGATTAAATTTTACAAATTAAATCTCACGGATTGTATAAAACAGTATGCATATGATAAAACAATTGAAAATATCTATCCAACGTCAAGTCAGTAGAATGTAAAAGACACACCGATTAATATCAATTAAATAATTACCCCATACTAGGCTCACGGATGGCGTGCTGAATCTTTATGAATTTATTATGTCTTAAAAGCTTAAGTGTTAAGTCTCATGATAAATGTCAGTCAAACTTAACAATTTTATTTGTTCAGTCTTCAGTACTTCAATCAGTTTCCCATGATTGTAACCCCCTTCTGAGCTCCCTTTCGCTGCAGAAAGACAACTATCTGCTGGTGACCGTACTTGTAGGCATCGTCTATAGGAGTGTTCTCCCATCTATCAACTGGGTTTATATCCACGTGACATTTGTCGATCAGGAACTTGACCACATCGAGCTGTCCTGTAGGTTAATGTTTGTTGAGTAGTGTCACTGTTTTACATGAACAGAATAGCAGTGCAGTACTGTTTTGGAAATACAACAGAATAATTGTTTAACGGAGTGATTATTTTACTAGCCTCCGCAAACTGCCAGGTGAAGAGCAGTCCTTCCATCGTAGTCAGGATAAGAGAAGTTAACTCCTTCTTTAAGGTAGCGGTATAGTGTGGTCATGGTTCCTTGGTAAGCAGCAAACAGCAGAATGAGACTCTGTTGGTCCTAAATGAAATAGTTTATAGCCAATGAAAACAAGAACATACAGGCGCATTAGAGTTCTTTTGCTGTACTATCTTATTCATAAGAAATGTTTAAAATAACGGAGTAGTTCGCTGTTTATTAGTCTCGTGATTGAAATACTGATAGTTGGATAATATCCGGTTGGACGAGACAAGGACAAGTGAAACAAGGAAGTTAGGAGTAAGGGCAAATTTTCGGCGTCAACGCCATCTTCAGGCTCAAATTATTTGTTATATAGTAGTGTTGAAAGTATTAAAACTAATACTTTCAACACTACTATATAACAAATTATTATCCAACTTATATCAGTAAATGTTTAAAACACTGAGAAAAACGCACAAACCTTGGTTTCATGGAAATCCTTTCTCCTAGGGTCCACTTTGTTTCTGGATCTGTCAGTGGGGTCGAACTGGTGGAAGACGAACCTATCAGTGAACAGCTTGCAGAACTGAACCCCCCTCACGGAGTTTCTGCTCCTATCAAGTCTGGGCGAGTAGATACACATTCCTAGCACATTGGGGATCACTACAATTAGCGCTCCTGACACGTTCGACTTGGCTGGTAGTCCGACCTAGGGATGAAGTTTTAGATAAATCTAAGAGCAGACTATGGAATACTACTGAATACTGACGGACAGTGCACCTTGATAGTGTCATAAACTTATCTAAAGATGAGATAGGGATAACATACGTATATTGTACTTGTGGGGAAAACTGTCTTACCTCGAACATGAACTCTCCGCTGTAATCGTTAACACCACAACAGTTCATCATGCTCAAACAATTTCTCACAGCTTCAGGGTACACCACCTTCTCCCCAGTCATAGGACAGAGCCCCCCAGATGCCAGGGTGGCAGCCATCACAGAAGCAGCATCACATGACATGTCTATAGCACTGAAGTGGATAAACAGCTCCATTGTCTGCTCTAACGAGTCAGCCTGTAATGGTTTGTTAGTTTAGCTGGTGTAGTCTAGCGGAAAGACATAATCACGCCAACTATGCTATAAGTAAAGATGTGGATCCTCGTGGGGAGGTGAGGCACATTTGTTTACTTTAATAGTAAGTACCTGCTCGGCAGAGGAAAGAGGTGATGCACATTTTGTATTATGGAACGCTTGTAACGCTTGTAACTCCTTCTTGTTACCCCCTTTGAAGGTCCCGAATAATTTTCTGAAAGAAAGCTTAAAAATAACCGAGAAATCGACCTTGTCATAAACTCATTTTGATGACTGTTCTTGCATTAATATTGCATGAGAAATCAATTTAACTAGCTATAAGCACATTAATCAGTCCCATTAGTTATTGTGAGCACCCTCATTCAGATTGCAATCACCCCAAGATAATCAATGCTGTAACAACCTGATGTTAAATTCGCAACTGTCTATTTTTAAAAACCTTTTGCCAATAAAGAAGTGTTTTAAATATATAAACTGCTTGTGAATATTTAAAATTTAGTTTATTGCTTAATAACAGATTATATTATAAATAATGAACTAACCTTCATATTACTGTTTAACCACATTCACAATCCAGACTACATACTCGGCCAAGCCGTTGAAAAAACTGGTGGACGTAGATTAGTGGCATTAGATTGACATGATTTTGCGGTATGCTTCTCTCGTGGTTTGTTGCGGAGCTTAGAAGACGGCGGGTTCCTCGGGCGCATATATCACCGTGACGAAGTGTATCCAGTTTCGCCGTTTTGCCAGTTAGTTAAGATAACTCGATAGGTTACTTTACGGCTTGTGTTACATTCTCTTGTTCATTCGTTGCACGGAAATCCTTTTTGTCCTCCCAAAATTTTTGGGACGAACAATGGAAGAAAAATGTTGTCTCGGGAAATTGTCTGCGTAGCTTAGTACCTACAATTATCAACAACGGGACTTAAACTATTCATGGAATAGTAATTATTTTTGAAACAGAACAACTCGAATGATATCAGAAATGATAATAATCCGCGCATCTATAGCTTAAAATAAAATTTGAGTTTCCCAGCCGCATTCAACTGTTCACCAACATAATGTATGTATTATAAAATGCGTCGCGTTGACACGCCTGCTGTTCCGCGGATAGTATAAAGCAAAATCAAGATCTTACTTCAGACAAAAAGCAATTTAAATAGTTGCGAATGCGTGCGTATCAATTGAAGTTTCATAATTTCACTACCATTACGAGACGAAAATAAAAGGTTTCGAAATAATTGGTTCTCGTTTTTTTTTTACATCTTTTAATAAGCAATAGTGAAAGTCAAAATGTGGGATTTGCAGAAAAACGATTTAGCGGAGACTCGGTGGTGGCGGATAATATGTCTTCGCACCGTATACCAATGCAACACGTGCTGCACGCGCGAAGGATTGACATTGATCAACTAGAACGTAAGTCAAACCTGTGTATCTGAGACAATACCGGCGCGATGTTTTAAAAGTATAGAAAGCATTCGTATGTTACTCTAATTATTTAACTACTATACAATACGCCAATTTGGACTTGGGCCGCGAGTTTTGGACTTGAAAATACTTACGATTAGTATCACCTTTACTAATAATTCTGAATTAACAGATACAATTAAGTTCACCGAGGCCAATTTGAAACAGAATAAATTTGCAAGCAGGTTGGCGGCCCAGAAAATAAGAATGTATAATTTTACAAATTAAATCTGCACAGGAATGATAAGAGCTTGATATGATTAAACATTGAAATTCTATAAGTAAATAGTAAAAATGTAAATCACATCCGCATAAACGATAAAAAAACTGGTCGGGCGGCAATCTTTGTTATTATGTTAAAGTAATTAATCTCATAAAAGTAACAACTACATTTATTTTTCAGTCCTCAAGAATCTCAACAGATTTCAAAGAACCCTTCTGACTCCTTCCGCAGACATTGGACACACACAAAAAAATGGGTATATCTGACATTGTCGTCAGGAACTTCATCGAGCTCCTTGGTTTGTTGTGAGTAGTGTCACTGTTATAATAAGATTAAAGCAGGCAGTAGTTTTTGAACTACCAAAATGTTAACTGGTGATTCATTTGCACTCCCACACTCAGTCATAGGTCCAGCCTGTCCTCGTTTCAGGATGAATCACTCCTCTAGCGTATACGTGTGGTTCCTGACAGCAGACAAACCCAGATTCATGGACCTCTGTTGTCCTAAGAATAGTTATAGCCCATATAAATCCATGAACCATCAGCCGCATAGCATCTTTTGCTGTACCTACAAAGAATGAAATACGGTGTGTCGCGTTTAATCTCGTGATTGGTACTTATTGGATATCCACAGTTCCAGACATGTAACCGCAGCTTATATACAGGCACATTTCTCGCGCAACGCATTTCAGTCTCAAATATTTGGTTATATAGAATTCTGAAAGTATACAATAACTGACATTGACATCTCTGTATACTTCAACCACTTATCAGGATAAACGTTTCGAAACTGAGAAAACGCCAAACCTGTAGTATAATCTTTTCCAGGCCACTTTTGTTTCTAGATCTGTATGGGTGAACACAACCACAGGAACATGTTGCGAAGAATAGAGTTTTGTCCTATCAATTCCAGTGACACATTTAAATTGAGGATCCACATTAGCGCTCGATGACACGTTCGACTCGGCATGACATAACCAAACTCAAGGGTGAAGTTGATAGAGCAACCTATGGAACAACGAACAGAGGGCCACGCCTTGATAGTCGTCATAAAAATCTAACGATCTTTCAGGGACATCGTATAACCGTATTGAAACTGTCTTCCGACATGATACTCCGTGTAACGTTCACACACCCACACATTCATCAGGAACAATTCGGGAACTGCTCGGGGACCCTCCCTCATGACATCGGACAGATCCCCAAGCTGCGCCATCACCCAGCGCATCACTGATGTCTAAGAACTGAGTGGACAAAAGTCCATATCTGCTCTCGAGTCAGTTCAATGGTAAGTTAAGTTTGCTTGCATGTATCTGAAATAATCACGAATCCAAATGTCCAAAGATTCATTTGCTAGGAAACCTTAATTGATAGTAACGATGTGAGGGTGTGACTGGCAGTTAAAGTTTACTTCAATCTAAATTCACTTCTTACAGGAATGCTGCGATCAACTTGGAAATGAACGTGAACTTGTAACTCCTTCTGTCTACGCCCGTTGGGATATAGCTTAAGATCCCGAGAATTGAGTTATTAACTCATTTGTGACTGTTCTCGCATTAATATTGCACTAAGTTAAGAAAACAGTCTACTTTTATTGTGACATATATTGTATCCAGACATTTTGATTTTAATCCAGCGATTGCTTTATTAAACTTTTGTCATAAAATTGTTTTAACGATGCTAGTATATTTTTAAGAAGTTTATGAAAAGTAAGATAGATTTATGATACTATTTTTGTTATCTCAACTTACAATTATAAATTATACCAATCCACCGAAAAGTTTGATAATAGTTAGTGGAGTGCGGAGTGATGTGTTTTGCGACTTAGAACACGTGAGGTCGAGTGGTATTTTAGTGGGATTATAGGGGATGGGACAGTTTTCATGACTATAGTGAGATGTATCTTTACCTTTGATGTTGGAGTTGGGAGTACACGTTGTAGTTACGGCTATTGTTAACATTATATGTTATTACTGCACGAGTGAAATCCATTTTCAAGATCTTTGGGAAAATAGAAGCCAATTTATGTTGGATAGATTGTGATTGATTTTTACTCCATATTATAAACTGAGTACCTTCAACCACAGGCAGGGAACCTACGTCAAGCTCACTTGACACGGACGTTTACCAGATTGTGTAAGGTTAAACCAAATGCTGAGGTCAACTGTTAATCCTTTAAATGGAATCTAAGCAGACGAAGACATAACGTGTAATTATGACAGCAAAAGCTGAAGTTCATATTGCTATGGAGATTAATAGTTCAAGTTTATGTCGGTATCAAGTTATTATCTATTAAATCGCTATAACAATACAGACTGTTTCAATATTGGTCCATTTTTTTACTGTACAACCCTAATACACATAAACGTACAACCTCTACCATATCCAGGATGCATCAAGAGAATAAAAACCCATGAGAATGAAAACCGATAAAATCGAACCTGGCAACTACCGAGCATCCCATCTGGCGAGGAGTCGGTGATTAATAAAACAAGTTCACAGAGTTTTTCGCAAGCGCCTGACCGTACGTTCGTCTAACCCCGGTCGCTAGTTTTCTGGAACGAATGCAACCTGGCCGTAACGGTCCCTACAAAGAAACCTAAAGTTTCTGGACCCTTGGCAGATTGTCCACCCGCAGATGTATGATTAACATTGGAGTCCTTCGACGAGGCCATAGGTTTTAAAAAAAAACGGGCGGCCCTAGTCCCGTGGAATACCTACAGCGACTCCACGTTCAACATGACCGGACAACAACTTTGGGAGTTGTCCTGACAGATAGTTCTTCGTCCTTGGGACCAAGCCGAAACCTACCGATCTTCGACATGATCAGCAAAAAGTCCCGAATGACGAGCCATTTCCTCCGTAGTAAAATTTTCAGCCTAATTCGCTTAGAGGAAGCACCCTAAGACATTTATCGTAAAATGTCATGCCGTAGTGACACATAAATGCGGAGCACCTAGAGCGGGATCATGTTGAACCGGCATTGGCATACCAATAAAGTGCTGTGGATTGAGTACTAATCACCAGGACGACCTATAAGTTCTCTTCGGAAACTCGTTTCCAGGACATCTGCTCTCATGACTCTATGAACGGTCCCCCACATGCTGTTATTTTAGAGACGGTTTAGGACAATTGAAGCGCTGCAGAACCGACTGCAACCCTCGTTTGTCGCCAAGCTGACCTCCACCTCTGCCGACCTGTGAAGAAACTCAGCTACGCAAAGGCCTTCCGACGTGTGCAGCAAGTGGTATGATCTAAAACTATCTGGACCTTGTTCCAAAAGTCATTACTTGAAAACATATGTCCACTCTACGGTGACGAGGTAATGTCTCAAGATAATTTTTTTACGGATGCTGCCTCAATTGGAAAACGGATGGCCCGTCGCTGCCACGGAAGCCCAGAGTCAATATTAGTTAAGTATCGGGCTGATTCAGTAGACCAATGTCTCTTATTTAATTACACAAGCACATTTATTAGTGCGTGTTAATTAAAATCGAAAAATATTGGTTAACGAAGTTCCATGAAATAAAGTCAAATTTAGTACGGTATTGGTGCTCAGAAAATTTTTTTACCACAATTTAATGCTGCGAAATGTTTGACGAAGAGCAGTTTTTTATAATTTTAGGAATTGGAGAGTAGCTTAGTATCATTTCCTTTACCTGAGAGACTTTGGAGATTTGTAGCGTACTAACCGCCGCTTTATCATTTATAATGGTGTATGTTTGACTGATTGTAAGCATTACTCAACCAGTTGAACCTGAATACGAGATTCAAGTGTTGGTAGTAAAAAAGTGCTAAAGGTAGTAGTTCTTGGACTAGGAGACAAGTTAATTTTGATGAAAGCCATCTATTGCTAGAGATCTATCAGTTATCCGATTGCTGAGATCGCATAAATGTGAACCTTTTTGCATTGTTCTCAGTTCTTACTGAAACCTAATTGACCAATCCAATTAAGCCCACTATACATGAAAACCGAGAACAACGAATAATCCTAACCAGGGATACAAAAGGGCTGCAGGTATAACCAAGTACATACGCGCGGTGAGTTCACGCCTAACGCGCGTGGGTTTCAAAAGCGGGATCCCTAAAAATGGGCCTGGTCACGGTTCCCTGATAATAGGGCTGTGTGGGCCTATAAGGGTTTCAAAAAGGGGCCTGTCACGTCGGAATCCTGGGTTTCCATGTCCGGACGAAAGTGGCCTGGGTTTCTCGTGTTACTGCCAGTCACTTGACTCATCAGAGTCCAAATGGAGCAGGTCAACGGTCTCAAGAAAGAGGCCATGTACTCTAGGGGCACCTAAAGGGCCTGAGTAACGGGTCGAAAAGGACCGAGAGTGAGTAAATCGCCAGATTTAGTCTTTACAACTCGAAGGAATCTTAAGGAAACTCTAAGTTACATGCGATAGAGCGGTAGAAATTGAAGCGATGTAGAGCGGATGGAAAATACTGCAACAAAACAAAACTACGCGGATTAACAAATTAAATTATGCAAAAATTGGACTTTCGGAAAAACATCCTCGGACAATATCTAGGATAGGGATGCCCCGCACACCGCATCCGCACCTAATTTAGTGACTCTCAGCTGCTCCTTGACATGTTGAGGAACGTGATGATCGAGGAGTGAACTATTTTCAGATATTTGAATGTATAATAAGTTTTATCAATTTTATCATCATTATGTGACGACTATTATTAATCATTGATTAAAAAACATAACTCACTCTTCAAAACTAACTTTACTCATAATTTATACAACTATAGCTATAAGTAAGTTGTGTGATGTTGCAGGTTTTGTAGTATTACTAGTCCAACATTTAGGTCATGTGATCGTTTTAGGAAACTTTCGCCCTTGTGTCATGTGATCGACCTCTTGACCGATTCCCCATTGCTAAATATCCGATAGCATATTGAAATTATTTATATTTGATGAATAATACTGTACTAATATTTACTTAACATATTATATTAGTATAATCAAACGCCTTTTAATTAATATTATCCCTTTTTGTACTTCTAGCTCGGTTACATGATTCCCAAGCTGTACTATAATTCACCCAGTGACTAAATCAACTATATTAGGAACTGAATAAGGATCAAAATGTATGTTGCTTGTTGCTCGTACTAACTATAAAATATCAATTTTGAGGTATAGGGAAATGATTATAGGTTCTGAAACCTAGTTAAATCGACTTTTCTTTCGTGCAATTTTAAGTCAAGAACAGTCATCAAAATGAGTAAACAACAACTGTCGATTTCTCGGTTATTTTTAACTAAGTCGATTTCTCGGTTATTTTTAAGCTTTCTTTCAGAAAATAATTCGTGACCTTCAAAGTTCAAAGGGGGTAACAAGAAGGAGTTACAAGCGATACAAGCGTTCCATAATACAAAATATGCATCACATCTTTCCTCTGCTGTCGCTGAGCGGGTTCTTATCCTTAAAAATAAACAAATGTGCATCACCTCTCTCCTCTGCTGAGCGGGTACTTACTATTAAAGTAAACAAATGTACCTCACCTCCCCACGAGAATCCACATCTATAGAATTAAACATGATATCTATGTGTTTCCATAAAACTCACGCTAGCCTCTTTGTTGAAACACCCGTTCTCTCGGAGGTAGTGCCCGATAGCGTACAGACGGTTAGAGTGGTCCTTCAGAGAGAGAGCTAGGGAATTGTTGAACCCGACAGTATCCTTCCCACAGAACCTGTAGAATAATTACAACTATAGTTTATCGAATCACCAAACTGCGATAATTCTGTCTCGTCACGTACCCATTTTCAAATGTATGCGACAAAGATTTCCTGGTATATGGAATGTAGTTTGTACGAAGATCTAATTTTCATAGTCTGTGTTTACAGAGTACAGACTATGAAATCGCAAGGAATTTTAAAGGAATGATTCTCCTAGCTCATATATCCTACCCAAATCTTAGTTTCGTGGTGTACCAGGAACTACTTAGAGATTATTCATTGTTATCCGACAAGTTTCAATCGCAAGGAATTTTAAGGAATGTGACAAATGACTTACTGTACACATTTCTTGTAGAAGTATTCAAATCTCTCAGAGAAGCAGAGACTGGGTTTCAAGAGGGAGGCTAGTGTCAGACCACCAGTGAGAAGGAGTGGGTTGTGGGGTTTCTTGTTCTTTAGGTTCAGGGCCTCTCCTTCTGAGCCACTCGGCTCCTTTCCTATGTATCTGTAGAGCAAATATACCGTCAAGTTAACGTCATTTTCAAGATTGGTGAGGTCAAATTATAGTATTGATTTAATTAACTTCATAGTACTGCAAGTGCACAGAAACTTACTCGTGGACATAGTCCACAGATTTCTCAGTGCATGTCAGAGCATACAGCAGAACTCGGTTCAGGTCCTGTATAGGAAATGGACACTTGGAATCACCGAAAGACAGCCTTTGTCCGTCAGTCGTACAAATTGATATCGCGTACTTTTCTGGGTCAACCTTAGCCATTTGCGGTGTGAGATCCGCCACCTGTACGTTTTTAGTGGTAAAATGAGAAAATGAGTTGAGAAGCTTGATATAAGTTAAAGCTATCTAACAGAAATGGGAGAAACCAAAAAATAACTCAGTTTTAACCTTGCCCTGTTTTAAGGGTCTGCACTCTTCGAAAATCTCCTTGATTATGGTTGAGAACTCGCCCCATTTTGGGATGATCAAATTTCCACAGAGAGCTTGTGTTATGAACACCATATTCGATGATAGACACCTGCAAAAAAGAAACTTATCTTTCTTAAAAAACGTTTATATTCGTTGGGAGATTATCCATATTTTTATCTTTTTAATCGAGCTAGGGATTAAATGGACCGAAGCTTAAAAGGGCGAAGTTTTGTTTTAAAATGACTTTAACTGTTACGATTTATTGATCAGCATTTCCTTCAAAATTTTAATTTCACGAGTGTTTCTCGATGGAACTCACTTCTTAAAGTCCTCCATGCTGAGGACCTCAGGTATGCTGTCAGGGTCCTGACCCAGAGCCTTTATCTTATCAATAGTGTCCTTAAAACGGGGGTCATGTAGAGGTCGCAGTCCGTTCTTGTTCAGCCCCTGAGGGTATTCGGACGGTTATACAGGAATCACCCTATATTGCAGATGAGTAAATAAACAGTCAAATTTACCTTAAACCAAGACTTCGCTCTTATGAAAAGTGAGGGAAGAACTAACAAAAGAAGTAGTTTCTTAAACCAATAAAATTGGTCAACACAATGTAGGTTTACTGAAAACATAATCTCACATGAAGGAACTTAGCAGTGGAGACATCAATACCGTCATCCTCCAGAAACTCAACCAGCAGGTTCTCGTCAATAGTGGTCCCAGCCACATTACTCACTTCCGACCTGGTGGAACTGTTACAGGTAAACTATATGACAGGGGTCATTGAGTTAAACTGGAGCAAGACAAAACACTGTACCTTCAAAAAGATGTTTGCATCGCTAAAATGTATGATAAGTGCTCATACATCTAAAAATGCCATATTGGTTAAAATCAATAACTCATTACTGGAGAGCAGAAGTGCTGGAATCTATTGAGTTCCCTCGAGGTCGTGACATTTCCCGTTAAAATAACACAAAGAGTAAACTAAAGGCAACCTGTTCAAAATAGTAGTGTAACTATATACCGAAAGCTGGAATGTGTATTGAACGCTTGAAATAATATTGACGTAGGCAGTAAAGTGATCCCTTCTTGATCTGGAAGTGCACTCGTAACTCAATAAATAACTCAGATGATCACTATAATCACTACAATCACACTTTAATTGAGTAACATAACCTAACCTGGTTAGTGGTTATTGAACGGACGTGGTACTTACTGAGCTCTGCTCGGCACCCCCAGAAACCCCCCATCTCCTAGTTCATTCTTCTGCACCATCAGACCTGACTTTGACTTGGATTTATTTTTACCCTTCACCATGATGAGAATTGTTCAAGAAGAAAACGCACAAAATAAATGGAAAATAGAAATATTAAAGTAGGAAGATGGTATGTTAAAACACATCTTTATTACATTAACAATGTTTCATGATAACGTGTTATTACTGAGAAGTGAAGGAACAAGATATAGCAGAACCAATCAGACAAGCGAGGAACCAACAACAGAGTTGTTGGTCCCGCCATATTCTAGAACTATGCCGCCATTGTTCTAGAATATGGCGGCCGATTCTGTGTGAACAATCATGGTCCGTGGGTAAGCACAACTAATTGAACAAATAACAAATGAGGGTATGAGGTGAAGCTTTGGATCGGGTGTAGCCCGGTCACGTATTCTCTACATTCTTCACATAATATTATCTATAAAATCAAATTAAGGAGTTAATATATTGCGTAATAATAAAACAACTACTGGCACTGCAAAGTGCCGCCAGCACATCAGTCAGGGACTACAGGCACGGAACACGGAACACTAATTCCAGTGAAATGAGCGTGTAGACTGTAGTTGTAGAAGAGGGCGGAGAGAGATTGGAGGTGACAAATATATGGGACATCAGGGCAACTAGCCAGGTGGTATATAGGAATGATACCTGAAAAAGAGGTATGTCTTCACAAGCATGCAATGGACCGGAATATAGACTAGCCTCGCCCACGTATATGTGGTGTGATGGGGGAGGGGGGGGTCATTATAGGAGGACTTTTTATATTTTCGGCTAATAATGATAGAGGTACCAAGCAATTTAATTGAAAGAAGCGAAAGATCATCCGAATCAATATTTTTCCGAGACTGTAAGCTTAAAGCTAAAGAGCAGATGTTCAGATTGATACCGAAGATTAATGAGTGACAGTACAAACTGACAAACTGATCATCAAGCAAGGACACAAGATTGTGGGCAGCGAGATTAATTAAACCACAGTATTGTGACTGTGTTAAGTATTTGGAAACAAACCAGAACACGCTCTACAATCAGTTCTAATCAAAGCTTGACAAATTGTTATGCACGACAAGCATTTATCGTATTCGTAAACTTTGTTGAACTTTCCGTTCCATTTGTTCCGGGGAACAATATTTGACGAAAGTTGATTATCTCAAGAACTGACCAATAGAATTTCCTTAAACTTTCAAGATAGTTATATGATAATAAGACGAATAATCTGTGCAAGTATGGGCGAATTTCTATGTGCCAAATGTGAGATATCACAAGAAAATATCTCCAAATCGGTACAATATTTGGAACAACACGACAAGCACTTATCGTAAACACATGCACTTTATAGTGAAATTATACAGGCGGTAAAACTAAAACGTACACTATTTTAATCTAGCAATTAACTCAATCAGTTGCAATAACTATAAAAAAACATGTCACATTTGCTGAACTATCGAATATAAGTGCAATCATAAGCGACGGATATATCCGGTAGGGCCGGTTTACTGAATGAACACTATCACCACACAAACAGGTGGTTTGGTAGACAACTAACACAGGCATGTTCTGGTTCATACAAAATAAGGAAATTGAATAGTTTACCAATACCAATGAAAATGTTGGCTTCGTTATAACTAGTTGGTACAGTTACCGGTGATATTGAGCAAACTGGTAGGCTGTACAAATTCCCAAACGTATCATACGCACAACGCATCAGATCATATTTATTCATAAATAATTCTCAGATCCCCAGGAGAAATCAAAGAAACCATTGCGGAAGCAGAATGTCCCAGAGGTCAGACTTCACACAAAAACTAACACTATAATTATATTAACGCGTGATACTCGTAAAATATTTGTTTCAAATATGAGACCGTCGACGAGTCCAACTCGGCGCGCGTCTTGGTAGGTTATAAACCTACAAACACTATATACAGATAAGAGGACGTATACAGATAAGATGACGTATAAATGACGTATAAAATGACGTATAAGATGACGTAGCTTATATAAGCTAAGCCGACAAAGCTTATATTAGGTGATTGTTACCGATTAAAGCAGAACCTTTGTCAGTTCGTACTGGTATGGGTCACTTTATTGTTTATACAGGGTGTTTCAAGACTCGTGTCCAAATTTTGAATGGCCCTTAAAATCTAACAAATAGGTCAAACAGTTCGACTTTTGTTTTAAATCATAATTGTTACATTCCAAAAATACATACATCAAAAATATCCCAAATATTTCATCAACTCTCCGAACGAAGCTCCCTTCCGGCATAACAGGTTTGGAACCCTCAAATCATATTGTCTAATGCACGTTTTACCATGTCAAGTTTCAATTTTTAAGCCTCCCTTCTGATGTTGTTTTTCGGCTGTTCTAATTTTTTGGGACTTGATCTGAATTAACACGATCTTTAAGATAACCCCCTAAAAAGAAATTAGCCGGATTCAGGTCAGGGCTGTAAGGAGGCCAGCTGAAGTCTGTTTTCCAAGACTTCAGTATTTTTTGTAGTAGGTACAGACTACAGTCAAACCTGTTTATTAATATTACTATACCGGGTTCCTCGTGGTGCCCGCTATAGAGAGGCAAGGTATTGAGAGGTTTTACTATATATCATTTCATCGTCTGTCCAAGCCAATCAAAAATTTGAGAAAAAGTGATAAATAAGATTAAAACCACAGGTCACCACTCACGAGATATACCACTAACTGCATTAATCACGGCTTACTCCTCCTTTCATGCAAACATTTATAATGTAATCTGTTAAATAAACACAGCGTGAAGACGTGCCTACTTCACAAGACCTAGTAACCAGATGATCACTTCAGACTTCTAGAGAATATAGAGATCCATGTCCAGAGGTCACTGTTTATAAATCATAGTTTAAAGATCCCTGTATAGAGATCTATATCTTATTCTATCAATTTACTGCCTGGTAAGCAGTACTGGTAGTACCTGTAGTACTGGTAGTACCTGTAGTACTGGTAGTACCGGTAGTACCGGTAGTACCGGTAGTACTGGTAGTACTGGTAGTACCGGTAGTACTGGTAGTACTGGTAGTACCGGTAGTACCGGTAGTACCGGTAGTACTGGTAGAACCTGTAGTACTGGTAGTACCGGTAGTACCGGTAGTACTAGTAGTACCGGTAGTACTAGTAGTACTGGTAGTACCGGTAGTACCGGTAGTACTGGTAGTACTGGTAGTACTGGTAGTACTGGTAGTACTGGTAGTACCTGTACTGGTAGTACTGGTAGCACTGGTAGTACCGGTAGTACTCGTAGTACTGGTACTACCGGACCTTATTTGAACGGACATTACTTGAACGCTGGAGGCCCTAGCGCTCATTTTAATGTCCAAGTTAAAGTCCGTTGAATTTTTTTCAAAAGTTTTTCCATTTCGAACTTTTTGTCCAGAATATGACAACTTTTAATTTCAGTGTATTTCAATAGCTACCAGGGACAAAAGGATTTCGCGGCATGTACGAAATCGCGAAATTTCCCATTCTCCGCGACAAATTTTATGTATAGTTTAATGTATAGCCTGTTAAATTTCGCGGTATCGCGAAATTTGGCCAAAATAATCGCGAAACCCTTTTGTCCCTGATAGCTACCATTAAACTAAACTATATTGTTGAATCAATGAAAACAAATTATTATAAAATTTTAACGATCTAAATTGTAAATATCACATTATGGCATGATCACTATCTTGATTTAAAGTTTTTGCCCATGCAGTTGATCTACAAGGGAAAATCAAATCAATCTCTTCCTAAGTATACATTTCCGAAAGACTTTGAGGTTCTTTTTAATGAGAAACATTGGGCAAATGAATCTACAATTATAAGTTTTATCGAGAACATCATAGTGCCGTATGTTAACGACGAAAAGGTTCTCCTTGGTCTGCCGGAGGCACAAAAAACTTATTTAGTATATGATGTTTTCAAGGGTCACTTGACGGAAAAAGTCAACAAAATTATGGCACTCAACAACATATTTCATGAGCTAGTGCCTATAGTCCCCGCCAACATGACTAACTTGTTTCATATTTCAGCCTCTAGATATTATTATTAGTATATTACGGTAAATCGTGTTGCCAAGGACATTGTCCGACGTTGTTATAGTTCATAATTCATGTTACTCAGGGGAGGTAATGAAACAAATAAATGCTGGGAAAGCTCCACGTGATGTTAAGGTTAACCTAAAGTTGTCTAAGATAAAACCACTTCACGCCGAATGGCTTGTAAAAGTTTACACTGAAATGCAGGACCGAAGTAGTTTGATAAAAAAGGGTTTCCAAAAGGACCCATGCTTGTGCAGGAGCTGCATTTGCACTCAATATCTGTGTTTTGGTGACCCTCAGGTCCTTTGGTTACATACATTTTGTCCGAGACAATTTCAACTTTGACAATCCATGCTTAGAGGACAATATTATATTTAACTAATTCATTGTGTAAACTTGTATGTAATTGACTGATTTGAAAGATTTCAATAAAAAAAAAGCGGGTATTACTGATGCTTTAAGCATGGAATATTCAATGCACGAAAACCCATTTGATGAAGATGATATGTGATATTAGACAATAATCATGTACATATATTTTAACATGTTTACTGATTAAAGACTGCTTTTCCTGCTTACTGTATGAAAAATGGATTTAAAATCATTTGCTAAAATTAAAAAACGTGAAAAAAGATGAAAAAAATTCGAATTTTTGATGGATTTGATTGCCTTCTAGCGTTTATATTAATGTCCGTTCATAATTATGTCTGTTCAAGTAATGTCCGTCCAAATAAGGTCCGATAAGGTAACTCGATTCCGATCGAAGTTGTAAATTATTGCAAAACTATGCAGAGCCATTAGATAGATAGACCAAATACCAATTAATTAGCGTCACAGTTGTCAATTTTTCCCGATTCAGGGCACAATTTAATTATTAATAGTTCCTTGATTCGCATGTAAGCTTATTTTATCACTGGCTCGTTTTTACTCGGAGCCAAAACTGGGTCGTAATACTAAACGCGATAACGAGCAATACTACTACTAGGTCTAGAGGTCTGCTAGAGGTGGGGGGAGGGGCAGGTTGGCTTTTCTGAATTCTTTTTAAAAATGTTTTTCTGGTAACCACTTTTCTCCACAATTTTGCACTCGAAGCTTCCCCTTGTAATGCGATCACAGAAGGCAGCTGGCATGAGGCCTCCCTTTTCCAAAACGATCTCGGAAGCGGGAGCTCTCGATATGGGAGGTACGTATCGAAAATGACTCGGACCGAAAATGTTTTCTGGAAACCACTTTTCTCGTTTTCAAAAAAAATATTTAGCCGGATATCCGGTCGGTTCCTAATATGGTAATTGATAAAATACACAGTCTATGAATTACAAGTTCCCGGTACATTTCGAAATCTAGCTGCATCAGTGAAATTGAATGTGGGAATACACAGTGCACAGCTATCCAAACGATAAATATAGTTTAAGAAACGGGTGGCTAATAATTGGATGCTTGTAATAAAATATAATATATTTTAACTACGCACTGATTATAATTCGATACTGTAGACATGAGATTCCTGATTCATAGAGAACTAGCCGGGGCAAATATGTCGTGGCAACTACTATAACTCTATCACTATACGTATAAAATAAACAAATGCGAATAATAAACGGAGAAACATCACTGAAATCTTATTACCTATGGCTATACCTTGAGCCCTTTAGAAAGAAAAGAATTTAGACCTGATGGCGATTTTTCTCACCAAGTTAACAGAGCCTGTCACCCCAATTTTATTCGCATTATTATATTAGACGAGACTAAATAGTGCCTCCAATATACAATTTATTTATACTTTTATAGATTGCAACGGCCCTTAAGCGCTCGAAACATCGACTTTAATTCTATTTTAAGTCTATATAATTATCTGCACCCGGGAATTAAAAACTGCAAAATCTTGCAGCTTCGGGAAATTAAATTACCACAATGATATCAGAGTTCAGACTACGCAATATGTAAGTCAACGAAAATAAATCCCATGGAAAAAGCGCTCTTGATGAATCGCTAATGAGAGCGGGAACTGGAAAAAGGACGGTCAAGCAAAACCCTTGCAAATCTGATCGAAGATATTCCCTCTAAGAGTTACTCCCAAGCTCCCACACTGTAAAACACTAAATCATGTCGAGTCCTAAATAATGGTGATCAGTGCAGACCAAACAGCAAAGCCAAAAAAAAAAGAAAAGGGGGGACCCCCAACCCATGTAGATTGTAGGCGTAGCTGAGACACCTCACAGCAAGTAGACCAAAGTGGCTCTTGCTTGTGAAAGGTGTATCACTCCCCGCTTGGTTCAGCTAGGCCTGATGGGGTTCTCTTCCAATTATTCAATTAGACAGTTATATATAGTATAGCCTTCTGAAGCAGCCCACACTGATCATGAACACATATTTTAACATTTTTACTGCTTAACGACTGCTTTTCTTACTTACTGTATAAACATGGATTTAAAAATCATTTTCTGAAATAAAAAAACGTTTAAAAAAATGAAAAAATTCGGATTTTTGATGGTTTTGAGTGCCTTCTACTAGCGTTTATATTAATGTCCGTTCATAATTATGTCCGTTGATCATTTAATTTCCGTCCAAATAAGGTCCGATAAGGTATATATAAGATATTATATATACTACTCAACGAAGTAAAATAACTTTGGACCAATTTGTGCTTGAAACTGAATATGATTGCAGATTTGGTCACGTATCACTGGGCGTGTCCTGGTACAGCTCTATTGCGACTGTGACTTTATCATGATCTTTTAAAGATTACACTACGATGTATTTATATCCTATAGCAAATCAGCGATAGTTAATAAAGTGGGGTTTAAGCAGGGCTATGTTTGGGATGCTATTCTCGTCACGCAGATAGATTTAATAGTGCCACCAATGTTAATATTTAAATATTACTCATCATATTTATCATATTTAAATCATATTTATAAGAGATATTATTTTCTTCATGTTCAACTACATCTCTATAACATATCTACATCTCACATCTCACTGTTAAATCAATTTGATTATATCCTGACAAGCACTATTTGTAATTTGTTATCGTAGTCCTGGCCACTGTATGATATATATATAAGTATACAGCGTCACAAAGGTTAAAGTTGCTTGACAATTAGTTAAATTGGGAGTAGTAGCTTCCTGGAAACGCCTGTCAATCATATATATTTGAGTGTAAACAAACTGATTTAAAATCTCATACTTACATCACAACTCTGTCCTATAAATGTCGTCCACCCGGATAAGTAGCTTCACAGCTGATTATCAATATCGTAAATCACGAACAGCCCTCGTTGAACATATCGCTGTTTCTAAAAGATCACTGATTTATGCCATGCATTACTCTACATATACCCTGGTACATCGCATTATCAAACATAATATTAACAAATCTTAGCTTTTCTCAAGCACTATCAAATATCATCAATGGCGATTTTAAAGATTGCAGAGTTTTTAAAGCGATTAATGTGACTCAACGGTTAGAGCATGCACTACGAATTGAGTGCAGTGTAAAGAGATGTCTTGGTTTCCGTTTTAGCTTGCGTTCGTCACTACCCAAGCTCACTCAAACGTCTTCCAATTTCGAATTAAATTAGGTTCGCGCCCATTTACTTAAGGAACTGAAACCGGTTCTTATCAGTCGGAATTCACTGCTTCATGGTTGAATGGTCGATGAATTTTGAGGAATTAGCTCAAGAAAGAACATCAGAGGAAACAACTGAAATGCGGACAAGGAAACGCAAAAGATCTAAATCTCCAGGATCAGTCGTCAAAACCTCTGGGTCTAATAAGAAAACACAAAACGAAGCCTTCGAAAGTCTCCCAAAACTGAACAACGGTGAAGAGGTATGGAATTTTATAAATTAGCTTAATAAATTAACCATGCTGAATCACATTATTTTCTAGAGTGACAAAGCTTAATGATCAATATATTTTGTTAAAGGGAAATCGTTTCTACAAGCTCCTATGCTTGAGCTCCAATGCTGTTTTATCCACTTACACCCAAAACCGACTACTACTACTAGTGCTAAAAATGGTTTAACGTTTTTTACTGAATAAATATGATAATTGGCAAACATTTCTGCCAATACGCTGTGGGCTAAAAATAAAATCGACAAAGAAATATAATTTAACAAAGTGGTTCTTCAAATTGTGATGAGTGTTACTGTTACATTACAGTATCACATTATACACTGTTAGCTGTGATGTGTGATGGTGCGGTCACCCCAAAATAAACAAGTGCATAATCTTAATGGTAATCATGTACACAAAAAAAGACATAGCCTCGAGATACGTCGTTTTCATGGGTTTCTCAAATTAATATTATAAAATATTTCAGAGCAATGGATCTGCTATTAAATCGTTCGCCAACGGGCGGAAGAAAACGGGCCACGACATGGACAAACTGCCAATAATAACAGAGAACGGAAAGTCGGGATGTAATTTACCGAATCTGAAGAAGAATTCCTCCAGTACCAAGCTGGCCGAGGATGGAGCAGACAAACTGCTCTCGCCGGAACTGCTCGTCCTGCCTCATGTAAAACCAGTCCAGAACTCTAAACCTACTCGCAAAAATGTTTGGGAATAGTTTGACGAGATTTACTTGAAGAGCAGAATTTTTCGCAAAAGTTTATCAGTACAGCAACCTACTTTGTATGTCAAAAGCCATCACACATCATCTACTATGATCTCAGCTTTTAATGTTCATTTTAAACTGAAGATGAGTTTTTCCTTCACTGGTTTATATATAAATTACAATATATCTTTGGTTAATTAATATCTTCAGTTGTGTGTCTAGAAATGTGTGTTTTGATTTATTTGACCAAATACCAATACCATGTTTAGGTAGTTGAGTTTGACATCAATTTCAGTACTCGGCACTAAGAATGGAGACCGAAGAGTAGTCACGATCTGGTCGATGACAATATTTTGTTGCTCTTCCGAATCCATGATGGCGATAACGATATTCTCGAACTTTTAGTTTAAATAATATAACTATTAGTTTAAACACTATTACTACAAAGTACAATATAAAAGATTGTGTTGAACATTATATTAATTTAACTATTCTTGGAGAGCGGTGTTTTTGTTGTATGTTATCCAACATATCAGTGATAAGTTGTATCTTGTTTCCCTAAATTTTATAAGCATTAATCATTAATGCTCACTTCGAACGTAGGTATTATCAACCGGCTGTAAAATCGATTTATGTAAGTTTAAAATGTTCAAAGCCTAGCTTAAGTTAAAGATTTGAACTTCAAATCTTTAACTTAAGCTAGGCTTTGAAAAAAATGATTCTGAGTAATGATTATCTGTAGCCGTGTATAGCATGCAGGGTTTTAAAATCTGTGAGAAACATGATGAAGCATGATCGAAACCGTTCAAGCGTGTTATCTAATCACTGAAAAAAACGTATAACATTAACTTTTAAGTTTAACTAATGTATTTTGAATATGGTGACGAAGTTGAACAACGCGAATCATATTCTAAGGACTTCAGGAGCGTCATTTGATGAACTGGACTACGATAGTTATTACCCATGTTGGCACCTCTTTTTTATGATCTCATTTTGCAACAATTACAAATTAAGATCAATTTATTAAAATTAAATTTTGAGAAAATTGAGATCACTGAAGATGATTGTTGCGTTTATAACGTTTACCGAGCCACTGACAAATCGCGAACAATAGATCATCAATTTATCCATTAGTATCTGCGGAAATGGAATTATTAATTCTATTAAGCAACAGAATTGTCAACAAGTTTTGGCGATATCATATATTTTCCAAAACTTTTAAGCACATTTCCAGAGAAATACTGAGAGCATCAATAAATCAAAATGCCCAACTCGTGCCATTCGTTTTATTAGTATTATGTAAAATTTACGCCTGTTTTCATCCATTTATTACAATTTCTTGAACCAAAAATATAAAATATAGCACGTAATTAGAATTAGAATTGCCACTGTCGGATGAAAAATCAATCAGGCATTACAAGGAAAATAGATGACACAATCGTAAAGTAACCGATCTATTTTGGCACAATATTTGGCATCATTTAGTTACCGGATAAATATATTCTTGTCCATCTCTAATCTATTAAATCTAATCTATTAAATCTAACATGCGCTTCTTTGACAGTTTGTTTTGAGTTAGGTGAATTTTATCAGAATATCGGTATCCTGCGAAGTTTTTCAGCCGTCTGTTATATTTTGTAGGTGCGAAAATAAAGTATACGGAAGTAAGGTGGAAGCCATAAAAAGAAAGTGCCAATAATAGAGAGAAGCGGTTGATATGCTTAGTGAACTGTACCAATCAGTAATTACTTAGTAGAAAGTAAGGCTTTATTCAGTTAGCTGAGAAGGGGGGCTATAACACAGCATTTTAATAATACCTTCTGTAAAAGTAGTAAAATGCAAGAATTTAGTAATCATCCAACTTTGAGGTTGTAAATATTGGGCATGTTGAGTGTCAAACCTTTTGATTTAGTAATTTCCTATCACTAAATACTTCACACCCAATACTGTTTACTAGAAAAGTAACTACTTAATGCCCCTCCCTATGGCGTCTGCTAGATTTATAAGCTGATTGAGTTACTGCTTTTCCTAATTGAATACCCGTGCCTAGCCAACTACTGGCTACTGGCAGGGGTACTGCCCAATTATTAGCTCGCTCTACCACTACCAGTTAGTGCGTGCCTCGTGAGAATCTACCAGTAGTGCGTGTCTCGTGAGAATCTACCACTACCAGTAGTGCGTGCCTCGTGAGAATCTACCAGTAGTGCCGTGAGAACTTTCTTATTCCAAGTTTTGAAGTTTGATTTTTACTGTCGAATCGATCAATTATAGTTGTGCTACATTTTTTATGCTCATTATTGCACACTGTTGAACTAACGAAGAATACGATTCTATACTAGGCGATTGATTAAAGATTAATTGAATTAATTGGTAGAATAAGCATTTCCTTTAAGGTTACATCACGTGATGCCACCATATTTTTCATTGGAACAGAGCGTGTATCGTAGCAACCATTTCTTTCTGGATACGAGATCTGGGAGATTTTCTGTTGGGTTTACTGTAGACTAAACGACGTGTTTGTTCTCAGTTTTGTGCAGTCTGCAGCTGTAGGTTTTCGGTTTTTTGATGTAATGTGGTAGATTAACAAAAACTTTAGGATGTCTTCATTTTACTATCGACTATTCGGATGCGCTAGAGTGATGCGCCAAACGATATTTATTAATCCAGTTAGCTACATATCAGTCGTCAGTTTTAACCGAAATCGTCGTAGCTTTTTTGATATTTTGAGAGAATCATCAATTTCTTGTGGATTCTTCGATATACATATTACCTAATTAGCATCACTTGATATCAAAGAAGATTATGTTAATAAATCACTCTACCATCTGAATGGGAGATAACCTTTGTTCAAGTAGCTAAAAAATGGTTGATGCCCTCTGCTTACAGAAGCTAATAAGTAAATAAGATCTAGCTTAAAGAAATCTTCTGTTGAGCATCCCTTTTCATGAACTCTTGTATAATATTTATTGTGTACCTCAGATAATGGCTGCAGTTGTTGTTTTGTTTCTCAGTGTGGTGACGATTGTGGCATCCCAACAATGTAGGGACGGCTGCATGTCCATTACAGGCGATATACCCTCGGAATTAAAGGTAATCCACTTTCATGTCATAAACTATTTTGAGTCTTGACCATAACTTAGTTTGAATAATATAATTAAATAACTAGAGGGCATGTTTAATGAGATCTGATTGTTATAGGAGACGTGGGTAGGAGGGTGGGAGGATTGTTCAACTGCTAGTTCAACCACCTGCCAAGACAACGACCAGTGTGTCCGAGTTGTTCAGAAGTAAGTTCAACAAATTACAAATACATCTCAGCCGAGAAAATCTGGCCGTTAAAAAATCAGAACTATAACACAATGATTACACTAGAAGCTTGAAATCAAGAGGTCAACTTTTTGTGAATTGCTTACGTTCATCTCAGACAGTAATCTTGAGTTGTAGCTGATTAAATAAAAGCATTATTTTACCACTGGATGGCTATTAAAACTAATTGCAGTGTTGTCAGATAAAATTGGAGGCTGACTATCGTTTTTAGGTTCTCTAATTATAATAAAAATTCACAATTAATAATGATGTCCGACGCCAATTTCTTATGACAACACTAGCTTACTAAACAAGTATATCACATCACAGAATGAGTGTTAAGTCAGATGAGGACGATAGAGTGTACAACTTCAAATCCTCCCTGACATTCTGTGGTCAGAGGGAGACCGGAGATAGAGTGTTCTGTCAGGGACACGGCTACACTTATCAGGGTAAGAGAGAGAGAGAGAGAGAGAGAGAGAGAGAGAGAGAGAGAGAGAGAGAGAGAGAGAGAGAGAGAGAGAGAGAGAGAGAGAGAGAGAGAGAGAGAGAGAGAGAGAGAGAGAGAGAGAGAGAGAGAGAGAGAGAGAGAGAGAGAGAGAGAGAGAGAGAGAGAGAGAGAGAGAGAGAGAGAGAGAGAGAGAGAGAGAGAGAGAGAGAGAGAGAGAGAGAGAGAGAGAGAGAGAGAGAGAGAGAGAGAGAGAGAGAAAGAGAGAATTCATACTGGTTCATACTTTACAGCTACGGCGTTTTTAATTCAGAGGAATAAATGTTTCGAAGGGCATTTATTTCTAAACAATTTTACGGTCAATCCCAGCTTTTTCTCATGACCGAGTGACACCAAGCTCAGTGAGCATATCGACTCATGACGATACTGGAAACTTCTGGGGTTTACAAGTTATCGTTATTTTTTTTTTTTTTTTAGAGAGGCTGGGCCATGATAGCCCACGAGAGGATAGCATTGAGATGCTCTGCCTACCTCTGGGGTGTGGCAACCTTGGGGAAGGTTGCCGGTGAGATCAGAGTGATTGGTGGAGGGTGGTGTAGGATGTTATATGAGTCAAAATGATACGCTTAAATGCCAGCTGGGTTTGGAAGAGTAAAACGAGACGAGACAGCATATGAGATAATACTTTAAGTCACCCCGGTCTGATCCAGCTCTTCCGGCACAATTAAGCGTTTGGTGCGGTTTGTGAAATTGACAATTGTGGTGATGTGTTGGTTGTCGAATATGTCATTGACAGAGAGGTAGTAGTCCTGGAAATACTGACCTCTAATTTGGGCAATAGCCGGACACTGTCCAAGGAAGTGTGAGACAGTTTCCTCTCCGTCCCCGCACATAGGACAAGCACTGGTGTTTGATTTGCAAATGGTGTGAAGGTGTTTATTTAGGCCGCAGTGACCCGTGATGAGGTGAACTGCAGTTCTGTAATCTTGTCTGTTGTTGCTGAGTGTAGTGTTGAGGTTTTTGATGATTTTGGCATGCTTGTGGCCGAGTGTCAGTTTGGTGTGTCTGGGACCGTCAGTTGACCAAGTTTCCTGATTCAGTCTGTTGACTTTGTTGTCGATTTGACGCTTGATGTAGGATTGTGGAATTGGACACCTCAAAGTGGATTCGCTGATAGTGCCAAGCTTGGCCAGCTCATCTGCTTTTTCGTTCCCCCACAATCCGATGTGTGCTGCAATCCATCGTATATCTAGCGTGTTGTTGGATCCGAGTGAATTAAGAGAGTCGTAACAGTCTCTTGTAGTTCTACTCCGCGTTGAAAGTGCGGAGAGAGCGTGAATAGATGATAGACTGTCAGACCATATGATGATGTGTGTGTTGGTATATGTAGATAGATATTTGCAAGCTTCAATGATAGCGGTGAGCTCTGTTTGGTATACAGTGCAATAATCAGGGAGCTTGAATGATCTTTCTTCAAGGGTGGTGTTATTGTTGTCAGTTGTGATGATATAGCCAGCCCCGCATCCTGAGTCTGTGAGTGACCCGTCAGTGTAGCAGGTGATCGTTTCACTGGTAATGTTGTCGATGGTGTTTTGAAGTGAATTTCTATATTCAGTGGTATCGGCTCCAGGAGTTGTGACGGTGAAGTGCCGTCCCAGCATCATGGTTGGTGTTGTTAGGTCTCTCGTTGCTCTAGGTGGGATAATGAGGTCTGCCATGAATTGTTTGTTGATAGTGGTATGATTTTTGATAGTTCCCTTCCTGAAAGCGATAGTTTCAAGAGTGAGGCTGCCATAAGCTTGTAGCCTGGCCGCACCCTTTGCTGCTTCGCCTTGCAGGAACAGTATGATGTCAGAAGTGTCGGTGAGGTGATTCAATGCGATAAAAGGTGTGCTTGGCATGGCACCAGACATCATTCTGAGTGCCAATGCCTGAACACGTTTGAGTTTCTTCGCGTTATAGTCCGTTTGAGTGGCCCTGATCCATATACTACAGCAGTAGGATAGGATTGGACGGATGACAGCCGTGTACATCCATTTGCATGTTTTGGGGCTCATACCCCATGTAGGGCCGACAGCTCTTCGACATTGCATGAGGGATGCCGTGGCTTTTTTGGTGGTGTTGATGATATGTTCATTGAAGTTGAGTTTACTGTCCAAGGTCACTCCTAGAAATTTAGCAGACTTGGAAAGACCTATAATGTTGTTGCCAACTGTTATAGGTCTTAGAGTCCACTTACTATTCCAGGTAAACATGACTATCTGAGTTTTAAGGGCGCTAATAGATAGCTCTTTGGTTCTGCACCAATTTTCTATCGTTTTAATAGTTTTGCATGTTCGGTCCCAGATGATGTCTAAATCATCCCCTTCCGCTAGAGACAACAGATCATCCGCAAAGGCTTGCAGGTAACCCGGGATGTCTTTTGCGGTAAAGGAAAGGAGATCGTCGACTACCAGGTTCCAGAGAAAAGGAGAGAGAATGCCTCCTTGGGGGCAACCTCGCCTATCCGTACCCTTCTCGACTTATCCTTATGATTTAGTGTGATGAATCGATTGGTTACCATGTTGATGATCCATTGTGCTGTAGCCAAGTCCACTTTCGTGGCCTTGACTGCTTCAGAGATAGCCTTGAACGAGACATTGTCGAAGGCGCCCTCTATATCTAGAAAGACACCTAGGACATATCCTTTCTTGGCTATTCTGCGCTCAATGGTGTGAGTAACTTTATGAAGTGCCGCTTCTGTGGAGCAGCCCTTCTTAAAGCCGAATTGTCGTTTGTTGATATCATTAGCTATGTTGAGGTCATGTTGCATATGCCATAAGATCACTTTCTCCTGCAACTTTAACATCACAGGCGAAAGAGTGTTATCGTTATGTATCATTTAATCATTTAATTATATAAGCATGAAGACCTTATAGTCTTCCCTAAGGACTGCAATCATCTTCGAATTGCAGGTTTCATGTCTAGGTTTTTTTCTTTTATGTCGAGGCGGAAAAGGTGCAGAAGACCACCTACTCCACGATGGAATCAGAAACAATACAATATAGAGAGAGAGAGAGAGAGAGAGAGAGAGAGAGAGAGAGAGAGAGAGAGAGAGAGAGAGAGAGAGAGAGAGAGAGAGAGAAGAGAGAGAGAGAGAGAGAGAGAGAGAGAGAGAGAGAGAGAGAGAGAGAGAGAGAGAGAGAGAGAGAGAGAGAGAGAGAGAGAGAGAGAGAGAGAGAGAGAGAGAGAGAGAGAGAGAGAGAGAGAGAGAGAGAGAGAGAGAGAGAGAGAGAGAGAGAGAGAGAGAGAGAGAGAGAGAGAGAGAGAGAGAGAGAGAGAGAGACCGGGGATACGCTACACTTATCAGGGTAATATTTCACTAACACAACAGTAAAAAAGGAAGCTAGGCAGCACTTAAAACACACTGGATATCTAATATATTTCCGTGTAGTGTGCTTCGGCACAATTGCATTTATTGATTTTATTCAGACGTTAATTCATTGAATCATCTTGAAAATATCCCCAACTTATTATCTGAATAAACTAAATGAATTATTGAATCTCACTTCCTTTCCCTCTCAGACCTGAACACGAACGGACTACAGCTGAGTTGTAAGGTGGAGGACGGAGCAGAGAGAGAGCAGGAGGAGGAGGAGGAGGAGGCAGTAGTTGAGGAGGTAAGCAGTAACCCTTCTACAGGATATAAAGCTGTGTGCTCTGTCCTGGTGTTGGTTCTACCTCTATTACTACATTAGAATTTAGCAGTCATTCCTTCTACTTACACTTGTCCTGAGAACCCTCAGTGTTCTCTGAGAAACCAGACCATTTTTAGGACTTTTTAAACATTTGAGATAAACATACAAAACAACAAAAATATCAGTTTTTCTTTTGAATTGGGAACAAGATGCTCAACACGACAATTACAATACACATTTCCGTGTAATTTCACGGGGGAGTTCCGCCAAACTATATTGCGATGGAGCCTCATCGTAATACTAATAGTACCTTGGTTGATACCTTGATACCTTGAATTGATATATTATGAACAATGAACATTGAACGTGCTTTATTAGTTTATTTGCTTAAAGACTTTATAATTTGCTTGAAGACTTTATAATTTATATCAAGTTGACGTAGTAGTAAATTTAACATTTAAACAGTAGAACATCTGATCCAGACAAGTTAAACTCCCACATTATCCTAGTTTAATTAATTTTAATTTGGAAGAAGTTGAAAGTCGGTGTTTGACATATTTATCAATAGGAGAATAGGTACTAAATTGCAATTCATATACTCAAAGTGATGTAGTTTATTGAATTATTACGAATTTAGGTACTGAAGATTATGTTTGATAAATAAATTAAAACTTATTTGATTGTGGTTATTTGTTTGGGGTTATATATTCGTTAAATCCGTTTATATTTACTAATTTAAAACCAAGATAGAATTTTCGCAGTTTCAGATAGTAGATAATAGTGACTATTATATAGGGTGCGTAAACTTTATGGTCTGCACTCTCCGATCCTGTATCACCCTGGATTCTTTTCGACGTATCACTATCTTTGTAAACGGTAAATACCTTCTAGTCAATCTCTTGCTACTCCAAGTCCCCTAGGATATCTTATCCAAAGTTCGTGCTAGTTATATAATACATGAAATATATTTTTGTCTGCTTTCATACTAAATAAAATTGTTGTTTTCTTGAAATTGTTGTTTTCTTGACTGACCACAGGGCCACGGACTTTCCAGTTTGAATAGAATATCATTTTATCTGTATTCATGCGAATTAGAATCATTTCAAAAACATGACAGTGTACAATGATGAATGAAACACTACAAATCTAATGTTAAACTTTTGACAATTTTAGTCACTATACTACCGCATAAGCTTGCGATTTAGTTCTAGTTGGCATCTACATCTATGGCGTAACGTTGCCTGCATGCTGTTGGCGCCCCCAGCCCCCTGACATACTGCCTCCCCGTTTGCATTTTGGCGCCCCTCGCTAAAATTGAACAAATTAGATGATTTTACTTTTAGAGGATACTTCGGTAAAATATCAAAAAAGTGTGTTTCCAGAGCAAAACGCGCAGTTTTGCTAGTACCGTAATCAGTATGCAGTAATTAAGCTTAAGTTTTACGAAATTGTCCCACATTCAAACGACGATTTGGCGCCTCCCAGCCTCCCTTAGATTGCGCCCCCCCCCCCCCCCCCACAGCGCGCGGGGTCGGCAAGGCCCTTCGTTACGCCACTGCACTGCAGTATTTGTATATGAGAAATATCAGACATTAATTGTAAAACAGTAAGGCTAAGCATGCATCGTATTTTATATTTTAAATATCATTCGTTCAAAAACTGATCGTCTTTGTAAGGTAATCACCGACCGTCGTGCGACGGTACCATATTCTTCCCGCTACAACTCCATCTGCCTTCACAGTCATGTTAACAAAAACCCAGGTGTTGGCGGTTGTGTTTTTGATCTTTACTGTCTTGAGTATCCCAATATTTTTAAACTCTTCAAAGGAGCATTGACTTTGAGATCCTTGAGAACGGTCTGCCGAGCAGTCGTGTGGGCTGGTTTCACCCTCAGTTCCAATCAGGGTAAAAAGATAGCCGCTTGGATTTCCTCCGTCATATTGACCAGTACCGGTTTGTTGTATGATAGTGTACACTAATAAAACAAATATTAATAAAACAAAAACTACATTTTCTCCTGAATAAGTTGAGTTCAGAAAGGACCGGGCAAAACTTTCTTACGACACCAAGTAAATTGGTGGAAAATTAGATAAGTGTGTCTGGTGGGTAACGATAAATAAATAACGGTATTTTCAGGTTCAGTATTGAACGTACATAACGGCAAAATCTCCTTAAAACACAGTGAATTTTAGCTCATCACAAACAATGAAAGTATTCATACCTATGTTCGTATTCAAGCTGATGGTTTTTGTACGCGTACCGCCGTAATCACCGACCGTCATGCTACCGTGCCATCTTCCCGCTACAACTCCATCTACCTCCACAGCCATGTTAACAAAAACCCAGGTGTTGGCGCTTGTGTTCTCGATATCCACTCTAAAGAGTTGCCCGATATTTGTATCATCTTCAAAGGAGCACTGACTTTGAGATCCTTCAGAACGGTCTGCCGAGCAGTCGTGTGGGCCGGTTTCACCCTCAGATCCGATCAGGGTAAAAAGATAGCCGCCGCTTGTAGTTCCTCCGTGAGATTGACCAGTACTGGCTTGTTGTATGATAGTGTACATGATAGTGTACACTACATTTTCTCCTGAATAAGTTGAGTTTAGAAAGGACCGGCCGGCAGAACTTTCTTACAACACCAAGTAAATTGGTGGATAATTAGATAAGTGTGTCTGGTGGGTAACGATAAATAACGGTATTTTCAGGTTCAGTATTCAGTATTGGACGTACATAACGACAAAAACTCATTAAGGGGGGGGGGGGGGGGTTCAGCCTGATTTGTTTTGTGAAACTTGGTTTCGAGATAGTAGTTGACCAACAAACTAGGACCGGTGACCAAACTTTTGAGGGGGTCCCGGACCCCAACCGCCAAACGGTGCCCGCGGGGCAGCCACGCCCATATTTGGTCCAAATTTGGTCCAATTTAGCCAAATATCCTGAACATGCCCAAAGTCCCGATTTTAGGTGCTCTACTTGTAGCTAGTGATCCCCTGAACTCGTATATGAATTTTCATCAAGATTGGACAAAAATGACTGAGTTATGAGCCAAAAACCATATGACCATATTTGGGCATACGCACCAAATTTGATCGATTTTGGCCCATAAATTGATCAAATATCAATATTTTTGAATGAAACTAACTTTATATGGAAGGTAAGCCTATACTACACATTCTCTATGATTATCAGCTCAATATCTACCTAACTGTGTATTCTGTGTTCAAATATTTGCAAAAAAATGAACAAAATCGCCCATATCTCAGTTCGCGATATTTGCAAAACTGACTTCGCTCAAAACAATTACTCAATAGAGTTTCAATATTTTTCATGAAATTTTCAGAATCGACGTAGAATCGCCTCATGACCTTAATATATATAAGTTTTGTATTGGAATTTTGAGTTAGGCCTTTTAAAAAATTTGGCGGCCAAATTCTGAAATTTGCCGGGCATTTTTCAGAATTTGGCCGCCAAATTTTTTTAAAGGCCTAACTCGAAATTCCAATACAAAACTTAAGGTCATGAGGCGATTCTACGTTGATTCTGAAAATTTCATGAAAAAATATTGAAACCCTATTGAGTTATATTGTTTTGAGCGAAGTCAGTTTTGCAAATATCGCGAACTGAGATATGGGCGATTTTGTTCATTTTTTGCAATTATTTGAATACAGAATCCATAGTTAGGTAGATATTGAGCTGATAATCATAGAGAATGTGTAGTATAGGCTTACCTTCCATATAAAGTTAGTTTCATTCAAAAATATTGATATTTGACCAATTTATGGGCCAAAATCGATCAAATTTGGTGCGTATGCCCAAATATGGTCATATGGTTTTTGGCTCATAACTCAGTCATTTTTTTGTCCAATCTTGATGAAAATTCATATACGAGTTCAGGGGACCACTAGCTACAAGTAGAACACCTAAAATCTTGATTTTGGGCATGTTCAGGGTATTTGGTTAAATTGGGCCTAATTTGGACCAAATATGGGCGTGGCTGCCCCGCGGGCACCGTTTGGCGGTTGGGGTCCGGGACTCCCTCAAAAGTTCAGTCACCGGTCGTAGTTTGTTGGTCAACTGCTATCTCGAAACCAAGTTTCACAAAAAAATCAGGCTGAACCCCCCCCCCCCCCTTAAAACACAGTAAATTTTAGTTCATCACAAACAATGAAAGTATCCATACCTATCATATTCAAGCTGATGAGATGATGGTGACCACGGACCGTCGTGCGACGGTACCATCTTCCCGCTACAACTCCATCTACCTCCACATCCATGTTAACAAAAACCCAGGTGTTGCTGTTTGTGTTATCGATAATCACTCTCTTGAGTTGCCCGATATTAAAATCATCTTCAAAGGAGCACTGACTTTGAGATCCTTTAGAACGGTCTGCTGAGCAGTCGTGTGGGCTGGTTTCACCCTCAGTTCCGATCAGGGTAAAAAGATAGGCGCCGCTTGTAGTTCCTCCGTCAGTTTCACCATTACCGGTTTGTTGTATAATAGTGTACAGTACATTTTCTCCTGAATAAGTTGAGTTCAGAAAGGACCGGGCAAAACGTTTCTTAAGACACCAAGTAAATTGGTGGAAAATTAGATAAGTGTGTCTGGTGGGTAACTATAAATAACGGTATTTTCAGGTTCAGTATTGAACGTACATAACAGCAAAATCTCCTTAAACACAGTAAATTTTAGTTCATCACAAACATGTTTGTGATGAACTAAAATTTACTGTGTTTTACTGCAATAAAAGTATTCATACCTATGTTCGTATTTAAGCTGATGGTATTTGTAAGGACGTAAGCACCGACCGTCATTTTACCGTACCATCTTCCCGCTAGAACTCCATCTACCTCCACAGCCATGTTTAAAAAAACCCAGGGGTTTGCGCTTCTGCTCTCGATCTTCACTGTCTTGAGTTGCCCGATATTTTTGTCATCTTCAAAGGAGCACTGACTTTGAGATCCTTTAGAACGGTCTGCCGAGCAGTCGTGTGGGAAGGTTTCACCCTCAGTTCCAATCAGGGTAAAAAGATAGCCGCCGCTTGTAGTTCCTCCGTCAGTTTCACCATTACCGGTTTGTTGTATAATAGTGTACAGTACATTTTCTCCTGAATAAGTTGAGTTCAGAAAGGACCGGGCAAAACGTTTCTTAAGACACCAAGTAAATTGGTGGAAAATTAGATAAGTGTGTCTGGTGGGTAACTATAAATAACGGTATTTTCAGGTTCAGTATTGAACGTACATAACAGCAAAATCTCCTTAAACACAGTAAATTTTAGTTCATCACAAACATGTTTGTGATGAACTAAAATTTACTGTGTTTTACTGCAATAAAAGTATTCATACCTATGTTCGTATTTAAGCTGATGGTATTTGTACGCCAAGCACCGACCGTCATTTTACCGTACCATCTTCCCGCTAGAACTCCATCTACCTCCACAGCCATGTTAAAAAAAACCCAGGGGTTGCCGCTTGTGCTCTCGATCTTCACTGTCTTGAGTAGCCCGATATTTTTGTCATCTTCAAAGGAGCACCGACTTTGAGATCCTTTAGAACGGTCTGCCGAGCAGTCGTGTGGAAAGGTTTCACCCTCAGTTCCGATCAGGGTAAAAAGATAGCCGCCGCTTGTAGTTCCTCCGTCAGTTTCACCATTACCGGTTTGTTGTATGATAGTGTACAGTACATTTTCTCCTGAATAAGTTGAGTTCAGAAAGGACCGGGCAAAACGTTTCTTAAGACACCAAGTAAATTGGTGGAAAATTAAATAAGTGTGTCTGGTGGGTAACGATAAATAACGGTATTTTCAGGTTCAGTATTGAACGTACATAACGGCAAAATCTCCTTAAAACACAGTAAATTTTAGTTCGTCACAAACAATGAAAGTATTCATACCTATGTTCGTATTTAAGCTGATGGTATTTGTAAGGTAAGCACCGACCGTCATTTTACCGTACCATCTTCCCGCTAGAACTCCATCTACCTCCACAGCCATGTTTAAAAAAACCCAGGGGTTGCCGCTTGTGCTCTCGATCTTCACTGTCTTGAGTTGCCCGATATTTTTGTCATCTTCAAAGGAGCACTGACTTTGAGATCCTTTAGAACGGTCTGCCGAGCAGTCGTGTGGGCTGGTTTCACCCTCAGTTCCGATCAGGGTAAAAAGATAGCCGCCGCTTGTAGTTCCTCCGTCAGTTTCACCATTACCGGTTTGTTGTATGATAGTGTACAGTACATTTTCTCCTGAATAAGTTGAGTTCAGAAAGGACCGGGCAAAACCTTTCTTAAGACACCAAGTAAATTGGTGGAAAATTAGATAAGTGTGTCCGGTGGGTAACGATAAATAACGGTATTTTCAGGTTCAGTATTGAACGTACATAACAGCAAAATCTCCTTAAAACACAGTAAATTTTAGTTCATCACAAACAATAAAAGTATTCATACCTATGTTCGTATTTAAGCTGATGGTATTTGTACGCCAAGCACCGACCGTCATTTTACCGTAGGTACCATCTTCCCGCTAGAACTCCATCTACCTCCACAGCCATGTTTAAAAAAACCCAGGGGTTGCCGCTTTTGCTCTCGATCTTCACTGTCTTGAGTTGCCCGATATTTTTGTCATCTTCAAAGGAGCACCGACTTTGAGATCCTTTAGAACGGTCTGCCGAGCAGTCGTGTGGAAAGGTTTCACCCTCAGTTCCGATCAGGGTAAAAAGATAGGCGCCGCTTGTAGTTCCTCCGTCAGTTTCACTATTACCGGTTTGTTGTATAATAGTGTACAGTACATTTTCTCCTGAATAAGTTGAGTTCAGAAAGGACCGGGCAAAACGTTTCTTAAGACACCAAGTAAATTGGTGGAAAATTAGATAAGTGTGTCTGGTGGGTAACTATAAATAACGGTATTTTCAGGTTCAGTATTGAACGTACATAACGGCAAAATTTCCTTAAAACACAGTAAATTTTAGTTCATCACAAACAATGAAAGTATTCATACCTATGTTCGTATTTAAGCTGATGGTATTTGTAAGGTAAGCACCGACCGTCATTTTACCGTACCATCTTCCCGCTAGAACTCCATCTACCTCCACAGCCATGTTTAAAAAAACCCAGGGGTTGGCGCGTGTGTTCTCGATCTTCACTGTCTTGAGTTGCCCAATATCTTTATCATCTTCAAAGGAGCACTGACTTTGAGATCCTTTAGAACGGTCTGCTGAGCAGTCGTGTGGGCTGGTTTCACCCTCAGTTCCGATCAGGGTAAAAAGATAGGCGCCGCTTGTAGTTCCTCCGTCAGTTTCACTATTACCGGTTTGTTGTATGATAGTGTACAGTACATTTTCTCCTGAACAAGTTGAGTTCAGAAAGGACCAAGTAAATTGGTGGAAAATTAGATAAGTGTGTCCGGCTGGTTCTTTTATTCACAGTTTGGAATTAACCATAATCCGTCTAAGAATGAATCACCCGATTCCATTAATTTCATGAAGAAACGAACATAATCGATACTAATAATCTCAAGATGTGTGTTTGTGTATGTGTTCGCGTGTAATTTCCGAACGGCTTAATCAAGAACATGGTAAGAGATATGGGACTGGTTTTTTT